AGTGTAAAGGAAAACAAAATATTTGCTTATTTTAAGATGATTAAAGAGACAGACAGCATGTTGATTGTGTCTTAATGACAGCCCAAATTTAATAATGTATGAATTGAATTTAAACATCCCACTATCCTCTTGTCCCTCTTATACTGCAAGACTTAGGAAGTGGAGAGGGGAGCACAGAAGTAGTGATGGAGTTAAACATCTAAAAGTTCCACCCAAAAAATGATTTCCTAGACTTTCTTCTTCTGCTACTGGGCAGAAGTGGACAAAGCAAAACAATAAAATGTGTTTTTCATCACAGTGTTTAAGTCAGTGGATTTGGTTATATAGTTTAAGTTAATAGCTTGGAGTTTACAAAAATAGTAGGTTAAATATTCAGATTACATCATCTGTGGTAACATCAGGATAAATTACAGATTTATTAGAAGACAAAATATACAAAATGAATATATAGTAACTTTAAATCAAATGGAAAAAATGCCCTGCTCTTTTAGAATCTATCCTGGACATCCACCACTGCCTTCTTTCCAGTCCAAGACATCATTATCTTTTAATCTTGATATGGAAATAACCTTGTACTTCATCTCTTTACATCTTATTCCCCTGCTATACATATTTTCCACAGTCACCAATATGATTTTTCAAGTGAGAAAATCTGATCACGTTACTCCTACCTTACAAATTTTAAATGACTACTTCTTTCCCTAGAAAAATATTCAGATTCTAAAATGTTCTGAAAAGATTTTCTTGATTCAGCTATCTACAGTCTATTTAAAACTAAAAAGAAAAATAGACTTAAAATATGCATGTTCACTATGAATAATTAAATATGTGCTTCTCTGTGGGTATTTATTTATGACCAAGGATTTTTGTCAATCGATATTCTAAAATTTATAGAAAATATATAGTAATCCAAATTACCTTTCCGAAAGCATAGCTATACACACACACACACACACACACACACACACGCACACACATACATATATGTAGCTATATATATATATATACGTATATATACACATACATGTATGTATATACACTTAATTTGCTCACAATAATTTATGTAAAATGGTTTTTAAAAGGCAATGTAGAATTTATTAGAGATAGTGTGCATGTGGCGAAACATTTGTGGTGTTATATTTGCCTTGATGTGCACTACAAACATTCAATAAAGGATAAGTTATTAAAGCAATAGGTAACAGTGTTCAAGTCAGAGAGAAGTGCAGTTACAGATAACCATTTCTAAAAAGATTTCTAAATTATGTCTAAAAGGAAGTCTTAATTTTTTTAAGAATCAAATTTGTGGATCAACACATGACATAATCCATATACCTAATGGGGAAGTATATCAGTTTTCTAGAGATGAAAACTATAGTTTTAAGTGCCCATATTATTCTTGTTAGTGAGCTTTTCTCTATACATAAATCATGAATCAATTCAACAGTTACTTGTCAAAACCCTGCTACATGCCAGATTAGTTCCCTAAGTGCTGGAGATTCAAAGGTTGACTTAGGCAAACAAGAGCTTGCTTCCATGGAGCTTAGCTTCAAGTAAGGATGGAGATAGATGATAAAAAAATAAAATAAATAAAGAATTTTACATAGAAACTAATATGATGAAAAATGCTATGATATAAGGAAGTGCTTATGATTTAAAACAGTGCTATGATATTAAGAAGATTTACTCAGGATATGCCACTATCTTAACTGCTGGCCATGTATAGAGCTCTTCTGAGGAGGTGACATCTGAACGGAAACAAGGATGACAATAAACCTGACATGCCAAGACCCAGAGAATTCCAGGCAGAAGGAAGAATAAGCACAGGTGCCTGAGGGCAGGGATAACACTAGTGTATTCAAAAAGAGAAACGTCAGTAGAGAAAGGGACAAAGCATTTAACTGAGATGAAAGAGGGGGTGTATTATATAGACCACAATAGGCCACAGTAAGAAACGTAGATGTTACCTGTGAGCCATCTTTTTAAGAGGAGAGTTACATGATTTGATTTGTGTTTTAAAAGATCCCTCTGTCTGTTGCATAGATAATAGGCCTTAGGCGGCTAACACTGGGAGGCAAGCGGATCATTAGAATTGCAGCAGGGCCAGGAAAAAATTTTGAAATATATAAAACTTAGCACATTTTAAATGTGTGAACTGTGACTGCTGTATTGTAGGCATTTAATGTCTATTTGTTGAATGAATGAGCAAATAGCATAATGCTTATAAACATTAAAATCTAGTAGTGTGATATAATCCTGGCTACATATTTTGGGCATGAAAACCAAAACAAAGGAAAGTACTAAGAGTCTTTAAATTTAGAAGAAATCCTGTAATTTTTGTTTATATTTACACATTTTCCTCATTAAAATAATTTAAATGATTTGAAAATCCAAACTTAAGAATATTCTATAATGGTATTATTCACCAAGCATCTGACATTTCATAATGTTAATTCTACAATTTCTTTGTACAGTTATGGTTTTAATAAGAGATAAATAGAAATTCTGAAATCAATAAGAATGTTGTCCACTAGTTGGCAAAAAGAGAAAAATTTGAAAAATATGCTAAGTTTGAGATTTAAAAAAAAAGTACCCTGTCTTCTATACATGACCTATTTATATAGAAACATCGGATTACAACTGTGGTATGTGGAAGTCAACCCATGCAACCCCCAAAATCCAATTGTGAAATTTTTAGGAAATTTATGAGCATTGTGTTAAACATGTAATTATTAAAATAGAATTTATGTAAACTTAAATTTAAAAGCTTAAAACAAAGGTAATACTCAGAAAAACATCATTTCTTAATTGTTTTACTGTATTATAAAGTTGTCAATGTTTTTGAGATTCTCATTGTATCTGTATGGCAGCAATTACGTATAATGATGTGCTACTGCGCAACGTTTCACAGCTCCACATTAACTGATGTCACTTGGGAAGCTTGAAATCACACATGGTGAGAACATTTACACCACAGAAATTGGCAAACGTTGTAAACAGGGCTTTCCCCTCTCTCTAGTGATTCAACTGTTTAACATTTACCAGTGCCATTAGTGATAGCTAAACTGAGGTTACCATCACCGCTACAGCATCTCTTGCCAAAAACCTCTAGTCTCAATCCCAGAAGCAGCTAGGTTCTCCTTTCCACGAAGAATGATGAACCAAGGGTGAGTACAGAGAGCAAAAACTTGCTATGGCTGGCTTCTAGACAAGAGAAAGAAGGCCCAGGGTTCAGGAGCAATTTATTTAGTGATTTTGTGTTTTATCTTCCTTGAAATAATGGCCATATTTCCCTCATTTCCTTTTGTGACATAGCTCCACTAAGTGTAAAACTATTGAAGTTATTGCAAAGTTCTGAATATAGAAAATGTTTCAAAACCAAAAAAAGAAAAATTTCATTTTTTCCTGTCAAATTAGCAATAACTAAAAAGAAGGTAACATTAGAGTGGTGCAGTGAGAAAAGCACTGATAGAAAACAACAATAGGAATTTAAATTAGTAATTGTTTTTGAAGAAATTTGGCAACCTCAAACACTTTGTCTTATATTTAAAATTTAACCTGAAGAAAGATGAATTTATGAAAATGAACTCTAAAATTATTATATGTGATTAAAAAACTGTAATGAGTTTGCATATTTGTTTGAAAGAACATCATTTATAATTTTAAATAAAATTTACAAAATAAGTGGAAGCTGAAACTTGAAATTACATATATGAACAGAGTGACTGTAAATAAATTCAAATAAGCATTAACAGTAGCTATTTTAGGGTATTTGGAACATGATTCTTTTTTTTCCATAACTCTATGATTACTATATTTTTCTGAAAAGACAAAAATGATTAAACTAAAAAATTCAAAGTTATATTTGGATTTGAAAGAATGTATATATGTATTGTGGCAAATTTCACAAAAACATGGCATACAACTGAAGCTAGCATTTATTAAATACTCCAGCATTGTGTTAAAGGATTTCTTGTTGGTTTAATATATAGAATATGCATTTATCTAGATCAAATCACCAAACTTTCTTTTCTTTTTTGTTTTTTAATTTAACTTTTGTTTTAAGTTCAGGGGTACATGTGCAGATTTATGATACAGGTAAACTTGTGTCATGGGATTTGTTGTACAGATTAACCAAATATTCTTATAAATTATTTATTATTGTGTTTGACTTAGGATCTTCTAGTATTTCATAGCCTCATACATTTCTCAAATTAACATCTATTGAAATTTAGTATAATTAAGCTATATCGTGTATATAGAATGAGAAAAACTATATCAAAAATTAAATAACAGAATGCTACACATCAAAAAAAGAAATGACTGCCTCAAATATATTTCCAAATCAAACAAAGTTGTCAGAAGTAAAATTTGTAGAAAAGGAATACATAAGATAGAGAAAGAAAAAAGGCAAAGGGGCTATAATTTAGTGTTTTTTTATTTCATTAATAATATGTAAAGTGAAAGAAAGTTAGAAGAGTATTAAAAATAGCCCAGTGTATTTCCTTTTGATATGAGTAGGTTGGTTATTATTAAATAATAGCCTAGTATTATATAGTATTCAATAAATTGTCATTTTAATTGTACTTTTTATTTGAAAATTATGCTTTTTATTTGAATGCGAAAATAATTGACAAAGATTAAATATATTCAAGGTGAGCAACATGAAGATTTGATATAGATATATATTGTGTAATGATTACCACAATCAAATTAACTAATACATCCCATACTGTACACTGGATCCCAAAACCTGGTTCATCTTATGTCTGAAAGATTTAAACGACATCCAGATAATAATCAACAAGTATGTGGTATGTCACAGACTTACTTTTGTGACTCATAAGGGAAGAAATACCAAGTCTCAGGGCATCCTTGATGTGTTAAATCTACTTTAGAAAATACAAACATTGGTGTGAATATCAGGCTTATCCTAACCTTGGGAATCCATAGGGTGTAGAAACTCACAAATACTTAGTTGCAATGTGTCTTAAATGACTCACCTGAAATTTTGACTTGAGACACCACTCCATCTCCTCCATCACTGTGTGCGCGAACCTCCACAACATATTCTCCGTCTCTGGGTATTGGGACTTCTATGGAGTGTTTATGAGTTGAATACAGCTTGCCATCATGCTGGCCATCAGGTCTGTAGAGTACCTTATCAAATAGAGAAATGTAAATATGCAGTAAAATCAAAATAATGAGCCAGTGGCCTAACACTAAAACCAGAATAAAAATGCTTAGACTTTTATTAACAAAAATTAATCAGTTTAGAGGAAAAAATAAATTTAAAACTAGAAGAAAAAGTGTTATTTTCAATTCACAGTAATTGTTTTTTGCAAGTTTTTAGGGCTATCCAAGGAGATATGACTTAAGCATCTGAATTTTATTTTTTGAGATGACCCAAAACAAAAATATGGAAAGAATGTGTCTTTTTAAGAAAAAAGTCCAAAACGAGGACTTTTTAAATATTGAAATGGACTGAAAATTGCCTCTCAATTTTTACATTTACCGTTTTCCACAAAATTTGGTATTCAGTGAAAAATGTGATAGTGTATGATATAAAGACTATATTTAAAATAAGCTTTTCTCTTTTTGTTCATTTATAAACAGTAACTTAGTTTATCAAAGAGTTTGCTCAGTGCAGGGCAACACTATCATGATCATTGCCAAACAAAAATGGTTTCATTCTCTCTCCCCTCTAAGCTTTGATTATTTTATTCTATCTTTAAAGTATTCTGTTTATCTTAATCTTTTGACATAGCATTTTGCTGAAATTCATTGAAGACAATTTTTTTCCATTTAAAAATGTATCATGGTACTATGTCGGATTCTGCTCTACAACTATTAAATAGAATAAAAAATCTGAATAGGGCTGGGCGTGGTGGCAATGCCTGTAATCCCGGCACTTTGGGAAGTCGAGGCAGGTGCATCATTTGAGGCCAGGAGTTCGAGACCAGCCTGGCCAACATGCCGAAACCTGTCTCTACTAAAAATACAGAAATTAGCCAGGTATGGGGGTGGTCACCTATAATCCCAGGTACTCAGGAGGCTGAGGCAGGAGAATCACTTGAACCAGAAAGCAGAGGTTGCAATGAACCAAGGTTGCACCTCTGCACACTAGCCTAGGTGACAGAGTGAGATTCTATCTTAAAAAAAAAAGGGGGGGGGGGCTTGAATGGGCTTCACTAGAACAGCAAAAATTGAAAACATTAATCATCACTATTTGTAAGAATTATGTTTGTGTAACTAATGATCTCGTAATCTTTTATATACCTTATATCCTGTCACTGTAGATTCATTTGATAGTGCAACGACATGATCCCAGGTGATTATATAGCGTGAACCAGACCTTACTGAACTGATGATCCTTGGAGGCTGGCTAGGAGCTGTGAAAAGTAGTAATAATGTAATCAGTGGTCACCAAATATCCAATCTCAGTTCTGCATACTGTATTGCATCAGGTATTGTAATGCTGATGATAGTAGTACTGACACCACCACCATCTAATTTTAATAAGTGTTTGCTATATGCCAGGCACTATGCTAACCACTTTACATCCATGAGTCCATTTAATGTACCCCATGGCCCTGTGAGCTAGGTAATATGACTGTCTTTTATTCTCTTCTCATCATGCTCCACTTGGGTTTCTTTCTCTACTAGTCTTTCGAAACTGCTGTTTACAAGGTTATCAATCACCTCCACATGGCTAAATCGAATGTCACTTGTTTATTCTTTTTTGAATTTAACATTTCTGGAGTATTTCACAGAACTGACCATCTTCTTTCTTGAATCCCTCATTTTTTCTTAAATTCAGATCCTAACAACTGGGTTTTCTTTCTACCTCATGGACTGCTCCTTCTCATTATTCATGTTTAGCTGGCTCCCTCTGTCAACTTGTAATTGTTGGATGACTTAGAACTTCATCTATGCACGCTTTTCTACTCTCTCTGTGGATCTTCCCTAAGTACTGACAGCTGGCCCATGGCTTTAAATATTCAAAGTTCTGTCTCTAGACCTAATCTCTCTTTTAACCTGTAGACATATGTGGCTAGAAGTCTCTCTATCTGGGCAGATATCAGCCTATCTCTACTTGACTGTCTAAAAGATTTCTCAAATGTAATGTAATTAAATGTAATACATTTCTCAAATGTAATATAATGTCAAGTATCCTCAAATCTTTCTCCATTGAGTCTTTGCCATTGTCAGCAAATGCACAACTAACCCCTCTAGTTTCTCAAGCAGAAATTTGGTAGTCTCTCATCCCACTCATTGCCAACATACATATTATCAAGTTGTTAACTCTGCCACCAGATAACTTTCCACTTCTATCTCCATTGTCACTTAGTGCTAGCCACTATCAGTTCTCTCCTTGACTGCTGAAATAGTTTCCGACTTGGCTTTTCTGCTTTCACTGTTAACCCACTACAATCCATTTTCTGCCCAGAAGACAGAATAATTTTTTTAAATGACATCATAAATTAGATATCACTCTGTTTTAAAATCTTTCAATGGCTTTTTATCATGTTTAGAAAGAACTCTAACTCGTCACAATTACTTACAAAGTCCTCCATAATTGGGCCCCAGAACTCTTCCTCCTGCTCACTCAGAACTTATGCCTGGGACCCACTGGCCTGGAACACCTAAAACATTTCAAGCACTCTCCGCCTCAAGGTTTTGTACTACTTAGCGTGTAGAGAACCTTAAGGCTCTGTCTAAAGCTCTTTACGTAGTGTGTTCATCTTTTCACTTATCACTCAAATCTTAGCTTAACTGGCATCTTCTCAAAAAGGCCTTTCCTGGCCACCCAATCAGAATTGCACTTTCATCTAAGTCACTTTCATTATGTCCATTTATTCACTTTATTTCCCTGTCATCTACTATAATCCCACTTACTTATTTGTCAGAGTTTTTGTTTGTTTGATGTTTCTGTCTCCTTCCATTAGCTTGTAAACCATGTGAGAAAAGCATCTTGGACTGGTTTGATCCCTTTTTTATCCTCACCATCTAGAATAGTGCTGAGTACATAGCATATTTTTGGTGAATGAATAAATATATGAACACATAGAAAAAGAACAAATAAATGCATGCTCCTTTTACAAATTGGAAAACTGAGGTTTAAATAGGTAATTGATCTCTTGTTATACATTTAGCAAGTGGCAGAGACAGATCTCAAACACATGTCTGACACCAAATTCTAGCTTTTGCCACTACATCTGTCCTCTCCTTGGGAGAGTCTCTGTCCCAAAGTGAATTTTATAAATTTGCAAACTCTGGTAATGGTAATTACATCTTCAGATTCCTGAGACATTCCCTAGAGTCCTGCATACAAATTCTCCTTTTTTATATATTCAACTTTGGTTCAAGAACAGAGATATCAAAATGAATCCAGAGAGATTAGAATGACCTGAAAGTGAGCAGGGATATGTGGCAGTGTTTTGTGAACCACATAACACAACACTAGAACATACAGCAATAAGAGAATAAGCATAGTGCTACACATTTAACATGCACTGACATTTAACATACGATGCATTTAACATATAATGACAGAGGTTTATAAATTAAAGCATGTAAAAACAAGCAAAGTTTTAGTTTTCACATGCTGTTGATGTACTCTTATGAAAACAATGTTTAAATTAATAAATACAGGATGAAGACAAGTTAATGGCACAAAATTTGAGAGCATGGCCTTTACAAAAGGGCAGTTTTCTAATTTTATTTCTATAATGGAATATTTAATGTATGAAGGTATTTTTCCACATTATTTCTTCATCTATAGTAACTTGTGTTTTGAGGGAAATTTTGTGTGGCTGTAAAGGATATCATTGAAAAATGTGATCAGGTAGCTAGCTAGGAAATTTCCTTCAAGTGCACCCATATCATGATGGAATCAAGTGGTAGTTTTCGACAAATATAAAAACAAAATGTGAAACTCACGTGCTTTCTTGGTGAAAGCCTCAATCATGTCACTTGGAGGTCCACACCCTGCACTATTGCAGGCCCCAACTTCTATAAAATATTGGGTGTCTGGCAGAAGGTTCTCCAGCCTGGCCGAGTACTCTTGGCTGGTGACTTGAACTCTGTTTGCAGCTTCTTCTCTGTCATGGGCAGCCCAGTACCGAATCTGCAAACAGTCAGGATGAGTTATATTCTGCCATGGTTTAGACTCTTCAGTTGTGAAAAGTTCTCTTCAACTACTTCTGTTACCATTGGTGTTGGCTGATCATAAGTTCAAATCCGTTTTAATGATACGTACCCATCTATCAGCTTTAGAATATCTAGGGCACCGAGGGCAGAAATGATTAAAGATGCCAAAAGCAAATCAAAGTTTCACTTCATTGCCCAAAATATTTTTACATTGACTGAAAAATAAATTAAAAATCCCCAAAACTTTGCAGCGGACTTAACTTTCAAAATATAAAAGTGGTCTCGATTTGGACATATTTGCCACAGTAATTTTTATCCTTTATTTCCTGTTTTACTTGTGTTTGAATGATTTCAAACTTGTTCTGAACCATTCTTAAAGCAGTTGGAGTGGAATATAATTTTTCTCTATAAAAATAGTCACTATGTGGCCTAAAACATGCTAAAGTAACACTTTGTTCTAGCTCCTTTCAGAAATAAGTTGTTATTTCCTTTGAACCCATATATAAGCTAGATATCAAAGAAATATATCTAATAATTGGATAAACTGTCAGTTATTTACCCATAAAGTAATTTTTTTTAATGTTATCAATTTTGTGATTAGAAATGATTGCTTTTGCCATATAATTACAGGATTTCTTTTCCCTTAAAGTTTAAAAAAAGTTATGGATTATAATTTTAATTCTTTAAATAAAGGCTGTTTTTTTGCATCAAAAATTTATAATTAAGGTATGAATAGAATGAAAAAATATATATTTTAGATGCCCTGTCTATAAAATAATAGGATTGTAATTTCACAATTAACCAAAATGCCTAGATTAAAATGTCTAATAAAATAATCCTGCACTTTTTATTTACATAAACATGTATGAAACCATTATGAAATGCAACAGGATGGCTCAAATTTACTTGGCAAAAGTGAGGTTTATATGTTGAATGAGCACATTTCTAAACATTCAGGAATGGATGAATGCTTTTGCTTTCATCCCAGGCAGGGCAGTTTCAGAGCCACATTTATAAAAGTCCTCAAAGGTCTCAAGGGATGGAGTACCAGTTGCCCACAGTGGTTGCCAACAAGACAAATAGCACCTTTGTTTCCGAACTCCCCACTTTCCTGTTTACTCTGTCTTTTCCTCATATCTGCTTCCTAGGATCATATTGAAAACAATCAACAATAATAAAAATCCTTCTCCACATCGTTGTTTGAGGCTCTGTTTAGAAGAAATTCAGACTAATATGGATGTCTTCTTCAAAATAAGGAAATAAAGCACTTTCTAAATATCAGTTTCTGCTCACCATAATAATTTAACCTTTAGAAACATGTGAATAGACTATACAGGATTGTTCAACTTTTATGATGACTGTAAAATCAGTCATCTGCATTAATCTCCAATTCAGCTGATAAAAGTTCTTGCGTTCATTATTACTGGTAGCCTATTTTACTTATTTGTATTAAATTAAGTGAATATTTTACCTGCTGGGTAAAATATTGAAAGTGAAATAAAATATTGAAAGTGGGGAGCTCTTTAACCAAGTAAGAGAAAAAAACACTAAATGACATAAACAGTCTACTGAGATACACTTTAAAACCACAAGGGAAGAGATTATTTTTAGATTCAATTGCTCACAATTCTCATTTGAAATTTCAGGAAATGAACCTTAAGATGCCAATCAGGCAGGAGCCAGGGCTTCCCAGCTTTATATTTTATGTTTTTAATGTGCTGCTTTCTTTCTGTGTATCTTTATACACAGAAAAATGTAGATCCATCGTACATTTTCATAGAAAGTCCAGTGGGGTATTAGTTTTCACCATCTATCTTGTTAAACCATTGCTTCTCCCATCATATTTTAAAATAGAAACAATAAGCACATTATAGTCAGTCAAGATGCCCCCCCTCCACCTTCAGAGGAGCATGTCTTGCAGAAGAATAAATAATATGGATGTTCTCTTTGAAGTGTTCATGCTTGTCTGTCTGATATTCAAGACCCTGTGTGAAAGGTTTAAAAGGATTTTAAGAAAGAATGAATGGAAGGAATAATTGTATGATTTACTTTCAGCAATTTTAACCAAACATTGTCTGGAGAGGCAAAAACTGGATTAAACTCTGATTATGACAATTATTACTCAGACAAACATTTCAAAGCCTCAAGTCTTTGATCTCTAAAATGGGGATAATAATAGTGTCTATCCTCAAAGTCGTGTGGATTTAATAAAATGAGCCTAATTGAGTGTTTAGCACAATAAGGACTCTAGAAGTGTTATAAATCTTTTAATTATTAAGATCATGATCATCTTCATCACCACCATCATCATCATTGTTATCATCACCATCTTTGAATGCTCAATGACATAAACAGGGAAAATCATTAAGTACAAGTTATTTGATATCTCACATAACAGTTCTATGAGGCAGTGGTTACTTTCTCACTTTATAGGTGAGGAAACACAGGAAGTTCAAATCAATTTTCTACAAAATTCTTAGGTGACAGAGCTGAAATACAAACCCATGTTTGCTCAGCAGCAAAGCTCATAAGTTTCTACTTAATGTGAAGTTGGAAGAGGTCAGAAATCTGTGAGACGAACTCCTCATGGCACATACTTTTCCCTTGAAATTATTGTTTGATAAAGATTACTTTTTACTGACTCTTTGAAAATACTTAACATTTAGTTGCCAATCAAAAGAGCTTATTTAATTATTATCTGAATCACTGGTTCCACTGTGTTGCTTCCTACATCATATTTCCTTTGTCCTCTTCTTATTAAAAGTAATAAAATAGTCAATATATAATTCTTGGCATTGACATAGATAATATATAACTTTCTAGCACATTTTAAATGAAGTAAAATATGTCATATATTTGGTATTTTGACTCAGTGATATAGGTTATGTATTAAATTATCCTTTTTTCGATTTTTGTTTGTTAGAAATAACACAAAAGAAGAAAATCTTGTGATCCAAAATTTGACTTTCCAAGCTCTGCACATTGATATCTTCTCCCAAAGATACCTCAGACTTAATTACTATAGGAATTTGTAAAATCTAGCAAATTTCTCCTTTTCCTACTCCTTTTCTACTAGCTCTAAACATAATTGTCAGGTTAGTACATTATAAATATTGGGTATTCTCAGTCTAGTGATCCCCAACCCACTCTTCTCTGCTCTGTAGTAAATTCAGCTGAACCCTTGCACAGATGGTCTGAGAGCTCTTTAAGTTCTTCCCAAATTATCACCTATTGCGCCAAAAAAAAAATTCTTCCAGTTAGTCTGGGTGTGTATGCTCAAAGGCATGAGTTTCTTTTACAGCTACATCTCACAAACATGGTCTTGAGAAAGCCCAATTGTAACAATTTATTTACTCATACTTCTTTATTCCCATCAGTATTTAGTGAATATCTATTTATAGCCTGCCAGGTGCCCAGCACTGTTCTTGCATGGCACTGAGAATGAAACAATACCCTGCCCTCATGGAACTAATATTGCATGGATAAGGGAGAAGGGAGAGTGCTGGACCTGAGAATGCAAGCTGTCTGGGCGGGGGGTGGGGTTGGTGTGGGTGGATGGGCAGCCCTAGACAGCACTCCCTGAGAGAAACAGAAGGGAGTCTGTGATGTGTGGCAATAAATCCCTGAACTTTGTATCTGACAACTGGAGTTTTAGACACTGCTCTGATATTTTTTGTAAGTAACAACCAAAGCAAGTTGTCAAATCTCTTTGGTATCCGTTTGTTCATCTTTAAAGGTAAGATCATGTCAGTTCCTTTGAATTTTCACTTCTTGCACTTAAAAATGTGAGGTGATTTCACATTTTCTACATAACTTAGTCCAAATTGTGATAGCATTGTATTGAAGACCCCAGCTATCTATTTTGATTTTCCAGTTCTTGCTGGACGAAGACAAACTTCCTCATTTGTATCTGGCTGATTCTTACTGGTTCTTTAAAATTAAAGTCAAGGGAAGTTTTATTTGGGTCATTTTGATTGTTACTTCATAGATAACATAAGACATATTTGGTATGTTTATAATTGTTTATTTTGGAGGAACTTTTTGAAATGGAACTACTGACTCAAAGAGGGGGATTATTTTCAGGATGCATCTATAAATTACCAGAATGATTTCCAAAAAACTTGAGATTCACCAGCTTTTTATGAGAATGTTTTCCTAAAAATACTTTGGGGAATCATAAATGTTATTACCATAGTTTTTATTTTGGACAGTTGTTTCCCAGGACTTAGGTTTCTTTACATCTCCCCTAGATAGGCCAGTTAGGAACCCCCATTTTATTCTTAACAATTAACTTATATATGGCCACAATACTAGACACAGAGAATACAGTATTAGTTGCCACATAAATTAATGAGGCATTGAAACATAAAATACATTTGAAAACTTAGGCTCATATATTTATGAATAAATGTATTTAGTTTGATAAAAATTGAACTTACCTGATAGCTTTCCACTATTTTTTCTAAAACATGTTCCCAATGAACAGATATCTCAGAAGATGATAAGACTTTTACACCTACTTCTGTTGGGGCTTCACTGGGAGCTGAAATTTTATGAGAACATTACATTATAAGTGAGATATTTTACATTTAAGAAATTCAACTAGCATTATTTGCTGTATGAATGATGTTGCACCATACTTTAATTTTTCTAAAATAGCTTTGATATTCTCAAATGAACACAAGCACAATTATTTTATTACCTCTTCCTGTATTTTTTTTAATTTTATGGTATTAGTGATAGGTATGAATGTGCACACATTCATACACAAAATTGTTAATATAGACATATACACATACACATGCCCACACACACTTTTACCAAATACAGAAAGCTCCTTAAATTTCTATTATATCTGTGAGCAAAACAATACTATTTTTAAAAAAAATTATCTTAACTGATCTGCTTAAGAAAGCCTGTTGATGCGAATTAAAATTATTAATATTTAGCTATCAACTCTATATTATTGGAAATAGCAAATTTAGTCTTTAATATAGAAAATAGTTCAATATAATACATCTTCTCTTATATGCTATTTGTGTCAACTAACTATAAGCAGCAATATAAAATATTCCCTTTTTAATTTCAAGGTAAGATCTTTAAAAAAAAATTTTAAGAGCCTTTGAAACAAGTTGTGACATCCACTGTTTCCTGGGCTCAAGAAAGCTTTTATATGTCTAATCTTCCAACTGGGCATCAAGTCAAATATGTATCTAAAAGGCCTCTGTTCTGGGGAAAAAAAGTAATTTACATCTGTTATGAAATTTACACAAAGAAACCAATGAAGGCTTTAAGCAGGGGTGATCAATTTTTATTGTCTTTCATTTAAAAAGCCATAATCCTATTTAATGTTTAAAAATGTTCTACACATGAACACTGTTGCCTTTCCAAATCAAGGCAAACCTGTAGCATTATGATTGATTTCTCAGCAGTAGAAGAAGAGATTAACACTTATACAAGTTTCAACACATGCAAGTTTTATGAAACTCATAAAATATTTAGGAAAGAAATATAATTAAATACAAATGACCATGACTAAATAGATGACAAGCTATTTGCCTGAAAGCTTACTTTAGCATCAAGTAAAGCAGTAAAAAGGTGAGAAGGTAACTTGTAAAAATGCTTGATACTCGTTTTATCTGTAAGATGTACTCATGTTCTTCAAATTATTAAAACTGAATGAAGTTTTTTATATATATATTTCTTTTCTTTTTTCTTTTTTTTTTTTCTTTTGAGATGGAGTTTTGCTTTTGTTGCCCAGACTGGAGTGCAATGGCATGATCTCCACTCACTGCAACCTCTGCCTCCCAGGTTCAAGCTATTTTCCTGCCTTAGTCTCCCCAGTAGCTGGCATTACAGGCATGAACCACCACATCTGGCTAATTTTGCATTTTTTGTAGAGGCAGGGTTTCTCCATGTTGGTGAGGCTGGTCTCAAGCTCCTGACCTCATGTTATCTGTCCACTTTGGCCTCCCAAAGTGCTGAGATTACAGGCGTAAGCCATCAAGTTATATTTCTGCTGAATGAGCTCAAGCATAGAGAATGTAAGTTTGTCATCAGGACTTTTCCACTGTTTGATAATAAACAAATTATTTCTACTTTTTTTCTTTGAATGTATTTGACTGTGCCAACTTAAAGGTAAATATATGTGCACACACACACACACACACACACACACAGAGTATATTCAAATACACATATTTTTGTATGCAGTAAAAATATATACAGTAAAAAGTATGTACTTTTAAATATATAGATATATACTTATATATATATATACACACATATATACTTATATATATATAAATGACTGCCTTTTATATTAATAATTGTTAAATCAATTTATGTATATTTAAGATACATGACATGGTATTATGAGATACATATAGAATAAAATAACATTTAATAAAATAAAGATCATAGGATGATTTAGTTATATATTACATTTTTAAACAAATACTAAAACGAATAATCCTGTGACTGATGAACATGTGAGAATTTCTGTTGAAGTCTAAGGCATGGCTAAACGTCTGTTTTGAAGTAAAAATAATGCAAGTTGGGTGAACCAATAGAGCACATTTCCTCTAAGGATAGAAGAGTACCTTACACAGCTTTAGTTTTTCAGCTCTTCCACTTGTGCTTCTCACACATGTGCAAAGAGAAACTTGGCCAAGGGTAAATGTATCATTGCCAAACATCAGAAGGCAATGACATATCTAATTGCTTTTCTAGCCATTATTTACATAGTGCACATGAATAAAGTAATATAAGAAGGTATTATTTTTGACAGGAATATAAATAACAAAAGAATAGCAGCTTAAACAGAAAATCAGAGAAAATAATGTAATTATGCTTAATCTAAAACCACGTATCACTTGTATGATCATATAAAGTCCTCTATGGCCATGCTTAGTTAAGTTAGTTTCTGAAAAACAAAAAGAGCTGGTATTAGTATTGGTTTTTTTTCCCCTAAATGTCCTATAGGAAACATTCTCCCTAAATGTTTCCCTTTTCAAAAAAACAATATCAACTGACTATCTGACCCCTTTTTCATATAATTATGTCTAGATTCCCTTTAAGAAAATTTGTTCTCTCTTGTAATAAAAAGTTATATGAATGCTACAGTTACATGCATTTATAAGTTAGAATTTTGGGCCATTTTACAAATAATATATATGTTATAGAATTATAAATGTTATGAATATATAGACATTGTGATGTTCTGTTCAAGTATGAAGAGTTTCTGACTACAAAATTAGAATCAAGAGCCCAGAAATGGGGGGCTAAGCCAATTATTTTAATGGGGATTTCCTAATACCATGGGCAGGAGCTAAATGATAAAAAAGACTTGAGCAACATTCTCATCATTTAGATGAAGAGGCTGACATTTAATTTGGTTTAAAATAGTACTCATTTACTAAATGCATAATGCTATAAAAAGGTCTTAGTAAGTCAGTCCTGAAAGGAAGCAAACTAAACGCCTATTAGAGAATTAGGTTTTCCTCCCTCTTCACGTTAGTAAGGACTTTCTTTGACCTACCATCTTGTGCTGAATTAATGACTGCTACTAGGCTGTAAGGTCCATCTCCTTTGTTGTTGAAGGCCTTCACTTTGACTTGAAATGCAGTGGAAGGGCTCATGGTTTCATCTTTATGGACGTATCGGCCAGTGTCAGGATTAGTAACTGTGACTTTTTTCCATTCTTCTCCATCAAACGGCTTAAATGCCACTATGTAACCAAAATTGTTGCCATAGTGGTATTCTCTTGACAAAGGCTAAATATAAATTAAAATATTGAGTAAGTTTCAGTAATACAGGTAACGGAGGGAATCCTACGGGGACAATAACACACATGGAGGCATGCTCTTTGTAAAAACACACTCAGTTCTTATATTAGTGCTGGTTCCAAATGCCAGAGGAAAAACATGCTCAAACATGGGATGACCTTATTTACCAAATGGTAGCCTTGCTACTCCTTGAACACCTCAGAGGCCTCCTACTCTGGGCCTTTTTACTTCAGTTCCTTCTGCCTAGAATGTTCTCTTAGATGTCATGGTACTCCTCCCCACCTCCTCACTTTCTTGAGGTAAAAATCACCTACTTGACGTTGTTTTCTCTGGCCACAGGTTCTGCCACTACAAGATTCCTTCCACAATATCCCATGCCCCACCCCGCTGCGTAGTGTTTTTCTTTAACCCTAACACAATCTATACATTTTACTTACTTATCTACTTTATTGTCTCTCTCACTACTAGAATACACATTTTATGAAGGCAGAGTTTTTGTCAGTTTTGTTTACCTCTTTATCTCTAGCACCTAGAACAGGGCTTCGAATAGTATGTATTTAAAGGATGAGCAAATGAATTTCATTAGAATTGAAAGGCAATGGTAGGAGAGTTATACAAGACTCTAGAATATCTACTCTGTGATCAAAAAGAAACTGATCAGAGGAATAAAAGCAGGTGACAATGAGGAAGGCCATTTGTAGGAGGATGGCTTTGGGTCTCTGTCTATCCCCAGTGCTTAAAGCAAGTGCTTGGTTTTTCATCATTTTCTCAAGGTTTCTTATTATCACCCATGTCAATTGCCTTATAAAGAAGTCTATGTCAGGCCTAACCATCTATTATTAATAAAATTGACTTACCAGCTACTTCTAGGGAATACTTGCCAGTTAGCCCTTTTTAGCAATTAAGGTAAATACACAGATTGTATATTTACTTTTTTTTTTTTAACCAGAAAATCAAATTTAAGATGTCCTGAGGCAAAACCTTGAAGTAAATAACACTATTGCTTGGACATACTTGCATTAAATAGGAAGATGTAGAAATGTTTAAAGATCAAATGGTAGAAGTTGTATGTGGTTGCACAATATAGTAATAGATCTGTGATTTTAGATTATTAGATAGCACAGCCTAACAATTCTACAATAGTTTAAACATTTTTCTTATTGATAGTTCTCTACTTAGTTTTTGGAATTTAGAGTGTAACAGAATCAGCTATGGAGCTTTCAAAAATAACTCTCAGGCTTTATCTCCAGAAACTTGAATTTGAATCTTTGCAGGAGAATTTCGTTTTGAATTTTTTAATAAGGCCCATCTTATTCTGCAGCAGATATCCACAGAATTTACAAAAATCAAATCAAGCCATAAGAGAAAAAGCAAAATGTTCAAATTTTTATAATATTTGCATTTTTGTGACATTTTATTGGCAGTAAAACTTAGAAATATTTTAAGATTCAGATTAGCAAATGGATTTTTTCACTGCTTTAAAATGTGATTTAAATGTTAAGCATAAAAATGACTACAAAGCACATAGTGAATCAAGTTTTGCTAAGCATTCACTTATTAAATAAATCAGTTTGACTTATGCAAATAATAAAACCTGTCATTTTTTTTTATACAGTCTTCAAAATCCTTTGGAGCCTAAATTCTGCTCTTTGACTATCTGCAGTGATCCAACGCTAAGCATATTTAATGAATGCATGAATCTATATAAACCATGTTATCTGGATAAATGCCAGATGTCTAAGTCAGACAATTTTGTCCTATAACAACTTTTCCCACCCCTCCCAATATCTTTCCTATTTCCAAAATCCAGCTAAGATGTATTATTTTCTAGTGATTATAGTCTCTGATAGAGAACTCTCCTTTGACACATGAAACTGTAATAAAATGCTTTGGATACCTCAGTAACTAGTCCCATGGGTGACTTCTAAGATTGACCTATCATGCTACATTACACCAGTGATCAAAGTAAGCTTCAAGTGAGAAGGCAGACTCCAATTTAAAAATGGGTTTTGATACAAAGTTTGTAAATGGAATCTTTGGAATTTAGAATGTCCAGAGACAATGTTTTAAATTACAATTAGATTACCAGACTACAGTGATCAAAGTATCCCTGGAATGAGACAGCTGAATGTTTAATCACCTAGGCTAACAGATATATTACCATCCAGGATTCATTCTTGCGTAGGAACTACACACTAAGCCACAGTAAGCCAGATAAAGTCTGATATGCATTTAAGAAAAAAAAAATAGTAATGTATTCTTGCTTGTGCATTGGGCTTTCTCTTTCAACTCGATTTATGAAGCAACCTATAATATGTGCAACTCATCAATACTTACTGCCCATGTTATGGTCAACTCTCTGTTTCTTCCACCTCCACCTCCTACATCTGAAGGAGCCACATTTGGTGCTGAAACAAACAAACAAATATATTCAAAACAACAAAACTAGGGACTATATTTTTTTCTGGCGTTAGAATTTGTATTCACCACAGAAACCACAAAGTTTTTCTTTAGGAAAAACACACTTCACACATGATCAACGCATTTATAATAACAATGGCTCACAGTAGCTGTAATAATCTGTTTTTCTGCCAAGATAAAAATTGATTTGGTGCCACAGGAAATGTGCCCATTTCCCTCAGCAAAGGATAACAAAGCAAATTTGCCTGCCCATCTTTTTCTTCTTCTGTCTTTTCAGTTAATATGATTTTGAAGGATTACATAGACTCTGTTGGAAAAGGATTTTGCCACTTTTACTTTTGAACCCTGTGAACTTCTAACAACTTACTGTTGTGTTAGTTTTATGCTTCATTCTACAAATCAATGTTAAGAAACCATGCATTTGTGTTGGATAATGTTTCCCCAAATATCTATAAATATTAGAAATCTAATATTGTCTCTTTGTTCTCACTTTCACTTTCTCAACTTTTCTCTGAAACTGTGCCTTTAGTGACTCCAAAGTGCTCCCTCCCCCACTCTCTTACATCATCTTGTAGTCTCAGTTCCCTTGCTAGAAAGAGCCTCTGTAGTCTCCTTAAAAATATTTCTGTCTACTGCTTTCTTCTTAATCCCCAAGCTATTGCTCCCTTTTCTGCCACTGAACTGCATGAAAGAACTGATATATGGCTATTTTTTTTTGTACTTCACTCCATAATCACTTTTTAACAATGCACATGTATCCAATATAGGAGTTAAGAAGAAATCACTTAGGAAGAAAGTAAGCATATGGGAGTCCCTCCATTTTAGTCCACTAAAAAGTAAGGCTTTGCTTTTTAGTGAAAAGCAGCCTGAAATCATTTTCTAAGAAAGAGCAGCCTGTAAAGTGGAGCTGCTGACATAGACAAGCAAACTGGGAGCTTGCATAGGTGAATGGTGGCAAGAACTAAGGACTAGACATGTTCAAGATGGTAGCTCCATCTTCCCTTTTTTTCAGTCACACGTAAAGTAAGAAGCAGACCAGACAGCACCAATTAACTGGAAAGCCCATTTGCATAAGATTAGGGTGCAGCAACCAGCCTTCTCCATGCACGATGTAAACGTCATACCTGATCAAATCAATCTGTGAGCCCTATGTAGATCAGACCCTGCCTTCTTAAACCTGACTATAAAATCCAGCGCATTCACCACCATCCAGTCTTTTCTGCTCGGGGACCCCACTCTCTCTAGAGAGAGAGCTGTTTCTCTTTCTCTTCTTTTCTGCCTATTAAACCTCCACTCTTAAACTCCTTGTGTGTATCGACATCCTAAATTTTCGTGATGTGAGATGATGAATTCCAGGGAATATACCCCAGACAGCATAGCCGCTTCATATTGGGGACCTCATCTGGGGTACCAAGGTCAAAACAGTGAGTAGAGGAGCAGACTCCAACTCTGTACTTCCATTCTGAGGCTATTGACCTCCATTTTAGAACCAAATCAAACAAAATACTGGGCCCACTTCAGGCATTTAAAAACAACCTGGCTGCCACCCTTAGAAGACTTGGGGGACAGGCTTACTGGGGAGAACATAAAGAATCCACCAGGTACAGATGGGTTGCTTGGCATATTAGCCATGTTTGAACCAGCTTCCTTTCATGGAGGACTTAGCTGTCATGTGGGGCTGGAAGAAGTCCTGGGGCAAATGAGAATTTTTGGCTGGGGCTACTCCCTCATGTTTTCCAAAGGCTACTGGATTGACCCCAGCCTTTGACCACCCTGATGGGGTGTTGGCCACAGGATCTCCAACTTTTCTATCATAGTTTCTTCCTTTCCTGTTGGCAACTGTCATAACTCTTATCCTCTCTGTGTATGCGATATGCAGGATGCTTTACAGTTCAGGAAGAAATCTTGTTTGCCAAGATCAGGGAATGTCATAGTAACAGGGGACATAGCTCAAGGAATATATTGTGATTTTCTAGGAAGAGAGGGCACCCCCAACCCCCACAGAGAGCATCTCTCCCTGCCCTTGGTCTAGAGAGCAAATGGCATTTTCAGATCTCTCTCTGCCCTTGATTTGGAGAGCACAAGGCATTTCCAGGTCACTCTCTGCCCTTGGTATGGAGAGCACATGATATGTCAAGGTCACTCTGCCCTTGGCCTAAAGAGCACATGGCATCTCAAGGTCAACAGAACCATCTAGTGGAATAGGAATCCTCTCCATGAGGCACATAATCGGTCCTTTACCAAAATCCCTAGCTCCTAATTATTTCCCCTTTTTATCCCTCTCTACTAGAAACCAGGCTATACACTGTTTCTGTGAATGGGAAAACTCTACCTTCAATAATTAGGACTAAAATGTTCTGCAGAACCAAATTTTAGTCTCTATACTGTCCTACCATCAGGAAAACAGCCATTTGGTCTCTATGTTCTTTTAGGACACTTATTCTACCTCCAATTAGAATGATAATTAACAAGGGGATTTGAAGTCTGGAAGTTAACCAGAACAATTATCTATGGGTAAACACTTTAGCATGGGCCATAATATAAGGATATAGAGCTAAAACCACCACACTTCCTCCATTAAGGTGGCAAGTGCAACAACTGCCCAAATACAACTGTTACTTAATCTCTCCCGAGATGCATTTTTCAGGGAGCCCCACAGGCCAGACAAGTATAGGAAATCAAAGGAAAATTGCAGGCAGAGGATTAGAGTCACATGGGTGAGCATGACTAAAACCTATCACTTAGTTTCTCTGGTTCCACAGCTGGGGAAGTCACACCTGTAACCATGGGCAGCACATTTAACAAGGTGACAGGAAGGACCCCAGGAACCATGGAGGAAAAACAGCAGGGGGGACGCCCTCAATGTCCTTCTCTCCACCTTAAGTCACATCAAAAGAAAGGAGAGTAAAGGAATGCCTTTTTCTCTTTCTCTTTATCATCTAAGGCCTGAATGCACAGAGACTCCTTTGACCTTGAGACTTTGAAGAAAAAGTGGCTCATTTTCTTTTGCACAAGGACATGGCCTTCTTACTAGAGCTTTGCAGGTTTTACAAAATCAACCTAGCCCTTTTAGCAATCATACCAGTGAGCCCCAAAGGGAATGATTCCCTAAGGCTAGAAAAGCAATTTCCAGAGGAACATCTGAGAATCCTCTTATTTGGGGTCACCTTAAGTTCCCTTCTCATTGCAGAACCTTAGGCAAATAAAGGAAAACTTAGGTCAATTTCCTGATGAGCCTGATAGGTATATAGAAGCTTCCAAAATTTAACTCAGGTGTTTCACCACACATGGAGACATGTTATGCTGCTCTTAAGCCAAATCCTAACTGCAGCTGAAAAGAAGTCAGCTCTGCAGGAAGTAGAAAATTTTGGAGATGAGCAACATGTCTCATATGGGAGACTAAAAAGGACAAAAAGGAGATAGGGAAGGCAAAGAAATAATGGAAACACCATTTCTGACAGGAAGGGAAGCAGTTCCTCTAAACAACTGTAATTGGAACACCAATGATGTCATAGATAATGGAAAAGAAAACACTATATAATGTATATATTGTAGGGCCTATGAAGAACGAGGGCAAAATCTATTAATTACTCTAAACTTTCCATGATAGACTAAAAGCCAGAGGAGAATACTGCACCCTTTATGGAAAGACTGAGAGAGGATCTCATAAAACAAACCTCCTTATCCCCTGAATCAGTTGAGGACAGCTCATCCTGAAAGGCAAGTTTATTAAAAAGGCAACTCCCAATAATAGAAGAAAACTACAGAAGCAGTCTATAGCAGCATATAGCATCTTGGAGAACCTCTTCAGGGTGACCACTTTGGTTTTTTATAATAGGGACCAGGAGGAGGTCCAGGAGAAAGAAAGGAAGTAAAAAAGAAGAACAGAGGTTCTAAAAGCTGCTCTGCAGACAAAGTCCAGAATCCCTGAGGTACATCTACTAGTTGCTATCGGTGCAGCAAGTCAGGGCACTTTAAAAAAGAGTGCCCAGGCAGCAAGAAAAAACCACCTCAACCCTGTCCATCCTGTGGTAGGAGCTATTGGAAATCAGACTGACCCCAGAGATGAAAGTCACACAGGTTCCAAACCAGTCCCACAGAAGGTCCAGCAGGAATGATGGCTCCCGGGGATCCAGTGGCTCAAACTAACATACAGCACAGGAGCCCTGGGTGATTCTGAAAATGAATGAAGGTAGATCTCCTTCTGAACACTAGAGACAGTTTCTCTCTTCTCCACTGTAATCCAGGCCTCCCCTCTTTCCATAGCATGACCACGAGGGGCGCCTCAGGAAAAACATGAATTCAATATTTTTTACAACACCTTAGGTTGCAGATGGGTATCCTAATATTTACACATGCCTTTTTAATCATGTCAGAAAGTCCCACTCCTTTATAAGGTAGACATATTTTACTCGCATGCAGGCCAGCATCCTTATACCCTCAGGAAAAACTCTTTGTCATCCCCTGGTAGAAGTTAATATTAATCCAGAAGTGTGAGCAACTCAAGAAAAAATAAATTGAGCTGTAACTGCTCGGCCAGTTCAGATCTGTCTTAAGAATCCCACTTCTTTTCCTAACCAGAAACAATATTCACTGAAGCCAGAGGCTAGGAAATGTCTAGAAGCCATTATTAATAACCTGAAGGTACAGGGCCTCTTCAAACCCTGTATCAGCCTCTTCAACACCCCAGTATTAGAAGTAAGAAAACCCAAGGGGAAATAAAGACTACTTCAGGACCTCCATCTCATTAATGAGGTTATAGTCACAGCCTTTCCATAGGAAGGGCCTTCAATCTGTATATCAGAAAGGAAGAAAATGGCCCAGGGATTTTTAACACAGGTCTGAGGACCAGCTCAACAGCCAGTGGGTTACCTGAGTAAGGAACTTAATTTGGTGGTTGAAGAATGGCCAGCATACCTCTAAGCCATTGCTGAAGTGGCCCTACTGGTCCCTTCAAATTAACCCTGGAAAATAGCTTGACTATGTA